CCTACTATCTGGTGAGAACAAGAGCGCAGTAAGGAGTACCACTTCTAACGAGGTGGCGGAGGTATTCAGCATGGAACCATCTAAGTCAATCCAGAAGCCATCGTCAGCCCTTCAGACGCAGCCTATGAGTCTTGAGACCAAGAAACGAGCAGTACTAGAGTTTGAACAGTTGGAGCGCATGAAGCAACAGCCGAGTCTCACTCCACTTCAAGCTGCACCTACGCCGAAAAGTAAACCTACTGATCTTACTGGTGGGTGCTCTAGTATTCTCTTTACCTTGGATGTACGTTGAGAAGTAGCGTTCTGCGGACTGCTGAGCAGTAGTGCACATTCTACTAAGTGGGTTAGTATAAATTAATGTGCAGATTAATGTGCCATTGGAGCCCCTTGAAGTGACTATTCATTTCCTATTGGAATGGCTGATGCCAACTTTCGAATTGCTTGACCCGAATTTATAAATTCAGTTCTCAGCGTATTTTATCTCAAGGAATGTCCATTTAGTTTAGCTGATTAGAAATAAACCGCTTTATTCTTTGTGTAATTTAATGCGATAATTCTCTTTATTTTAATTACCATCTTTTAGATACTTTGATCAAATCCAACCTAGATTTAAATTGGAGTCGTCCAACGGCTCAACCGCCAACATTCCAGCCAATGGCACTGAACCCCACAAAGCCCATGTTTGGCAATTTCATTTCTCCTCAACAACAACCGAATTATTTTGTCCAAAATCCCATCATCTCCTCCTTTAACGGAGGCAATGCACTTCCTCAAAGAGTTCCTAACCAACTACCTCCAACCTCGACTATGTATGCTCGTCCACAAGCGCCGTCAAACTTCATTCAGCCTGCACCAATCTGGCAGACTACTGCTACTAGCAACAACGCTAGCAATAATCCACCCCCTCTCTCCAAATCTGACATTATGGACCTTCTTAGGTAATTACTTTCAATGGCATTCCCTTCTTTCTTTGTCTGTGATAAATTTTCCTTGTGTATTGTGTCTTCTTCTACTTTCTGTTTTTTTGATCATCATCGCGTTGTCCTCTTATGATTTGAATAAAAAAAAGCTTTTATTAATAATGTACATTTATTGATAACAACAGGGGTGGGGATAATGTATGCGTACTAAATTTTTTGCAGCAATGGATGCTACCACAGATAATTTGTGGAGGTAGGATCAGATGTGTCCATACCGGGTTTAGGAGCATTTCGATTTCTTGTTGTGAAGGTGACGCCCTAGGGGAGAAAAAAAGGAGAAAAGTATCTCGTGAAAGCACTACAGAGCACGAAGAGGCACAAACGAAATATACACCAACCCAATTATCCAGCAAATCAGAAAGACGCCTCAGTCCCACAGTAATGCCGGCATCTCGAAGCATGGCTTTGACACAATCCAACTCCAAGGGCTGTGAGGTAAATTAGGCAACAGGTAATATTAACAACTGATGCACAAAGTTCAATGTGGAGGATTAAGAGCTCAAGAAACTCACCACGTAGGTTACAATGTTATAATACAGCTGATTGTCGTTTCTAAGGCACTCCCAAATACGGGCTTTGAGCGTGTCGTTCTTGGCCTTGGAGGGAATACACAATTACAAACTTTTATCAACTCACTTCAGGTGTTTGTTTAATTTTGCCGCTTGAGACTTGCTGGCTGCTCGAAATTGTCTAGAGTAGGGGGGTAAAATTTGTGTTATGTGGAGGAGAGGGGGTTAGACTCTGTATTTGGATGCAAAGAGTACTAACCTCATTCTCGGAAGTGGAGACGACTTCGAAGATGTTCTGGGTGCTTGCAGGCCTCGGAAACTACAAAAATGACGTATTAGTACAGTGAAGTAATTTTACTAGGACCCAAGGATTTGATGACTAGGTTCATTGCTCAATAACACTTGCAAACTAACCCAATGAAGTACCAACCACATTTTAGCACTCACTGTTTCACATAAATTGTTCAAAATAAATTTCAAAAGAATATTTTTGACCACGTTCGGATTTCTGCCTGATTTAGCCTAGGAACTCTGGTCATTACCGAATGGATGTGATGCTAGTATAGAAAAATAGCATTCCGATATTCAATATTCATTGAAGGGGGGTGTGCGATAGACTTACCTCCACGTGGTGCACCCTCCCCAACGTATACTCATACGGCAAAAAAAGTCCTTGAACCGGCAATTGACTTCTGACTTCAAAATACCATGACCCCATTGTATGCCATATTCGACCTCTTCCACAATACTCATCCTGCCCTTTCTCTGCCTTTGTGTCTGTCTGTGTCTTGCATCTGTGAATCATTATTCTGTCCCCCCCCCCCCTCTATTTTTTCATTTAGATGTTCCTCCCCTCTGTTCAGTCCGAAGTCAGCTAAAGGGTTAATGATAACTATCATAAAGCCTGCCACTTGAAATAAACATTCATTGAAGGTTTTCGATCTAAGAGAAATACAACTTTAATGGTTTCATTAATTGAATGTAACTCTCTTCATAACATCAAAATAGCAAACATGGGTAGAATTTGAAAGAAAAAATTATTGAAACGGAACGCTTAATTGCAAAATGCAGTTGAAGTTGCTAACATCCCCGCTATTATTATCACTTTATTTTAGCCGAATCGAACCTGGTTTCCAGGTCAATTCAAAAGATAATCGTGATTACCACTCCTCATTTCCTTTCTACCCAAGTTTCCAGTTCGACATGGAGGTGGGAGAGAGGAGGGGGGGCAGGATCGAGTGGGGGGATTAGCAAGTTACAGGTTCAGCGAAGTAGAGGTACAAATAAATAATAAACTCTCACTTTACCTCACTATCCGAGTTGGAAATGCCTTCCGGTGCAGTCTGAGCATTGATGTGCCTCTGAAGCATTCAATTGGAAATGATAACCAGGTGAAAATAATGGATTGAGAGAGAATTATCAAAATTAAAAGAGAAGGATAATCTCACGGAACACCACCAACTCAAAAGCTCTCATAACCATCACATCGTTGCCATCTTAAAATGGTGAATGTGAAACATCATGAAAGATCAATTGCCTTCTAATCCCCAGGAGGAGGAGGAGGAGGAATGAATTGAAGCGACAATTGCTAATTAGGCCAGCAATCAAAGGCACGATTCGCAAATTTAAATTCTGTCTATCTAGTCAATATTGCCCCCCACTCTGAGTCTTGGCAACTGGTGACACCCTGACGTTACTCTCTCCAGCAATTCATATTTTTAGGTGGGGGTGGGGGTGGGGGTGGGGGGGGGGAAGCAACCAAATAAAAAAAATAATGCTCGACTCTATTCTCTCTCCTACCGATGGCAATGAATGAAAGGTGCTCGCAGGCACAACACTTGTACTTGGAGAATCCTCCTCATCGTCGTGGTCTCCTTCTGGAGGCGTATTGTCTTCAATCACAGTAGGCACCTCCACATCTATAAAAGTGGATTGGGGGGGGGGGGGGGGGGGGGGGGGAGGGGGGGAGAGAAAACAATTAAAGGATTATCAGGATGTTGTCTTGCCTGTTAAATAGAGAGAAACTTACATGGATGCAATTCATCATAGATATGATTCAATAATTTAACTGCCTTCTTCTTCGGCAAACGTCGTATTCCATACTCCGAAAGGGCTTTCTATATATCAAATAGAAATTTTAATAGCATAGGTATTTTCAAATTACTCTTAATTCAGGAGTTGGCATTGCCTCAAATGCTGGTTTAGGGGTGATGGGGACATCGGTAAGAATCATGGAGGTAACTCGGCTTTCATTAGCTATGGGAGTGCAAGGTGCAGGTTGGGAGAGACTGAAAGAGGTATGGAGATCATTATCGTTATCATCTTCGTTATTGCTATTCTCCTTGTCACTGCAATGATCGAGAATGGGTTGGGACGAAAGAGAAAAAATAGCTTCTGCCTCTTGGGCGGTTTCTAAGGATGCACGAAGACGCTTCGCAAGGGGTGCAGGCGTGGGAGCGGAAGCATCTGAGAAGAAGATTGAATCGTTTGAAATGGCTGGTGCGGCAGATTCAGGCTCTACTAATGTCGGCGAGGATACCTCTTCATCTTCTAGATCCAAGTGTTTTGAAGAACGCTGAAGAGGAAGGAGATATATGCGTAACACAAGAGGCAAATGTTATCGTAATCCACTTACCTATCAGCAATTAATTGGCTTCGCTACATTACGCGGCATATGCATATGAAGGTTTAGTCTGCTAATTCGTCATGATCAGTTAGTCGGCCAATATTTATAGCTGCTGTCCCTCATAAAATGCTTAACCTTTGATCATCGTTGTCTTTCAATCTTATGAAGGCCATGTTGAGAAAAACAATAGATAAGCATGGCTTCTATTAGGTTGGCAACTAAGTCATTGCCGTTTTTGTTGAC